AACTGACATTAGGGGCCAATCGCAAAATTTATAGCATTTTCTGATAGGAGGTTTACTTTAGCGCCACCTTGTACATATGCATCTCCATACGAAGTTTCAGTACTCTACCACGAACACTTCTAGAGATATGCAGTACGAAAAATTCGATTTGTATGGGAGGTGCCACGTCCCCTCTTCCAGTAGCTCCAAAATTTATCCAAGAGTATTAATATCATATATGTATGTATCTCCATACCAAGTTTCAGTACTCTTCCATGAACACTTCTAGAGATATGCAGTATGAAAAATTCGGTTTGTATGGGAGTTGCCACGCCCCCTTTTTCTGTAGCCTCAATTTTTCCCCATGACTATGCGGGTGATTACATACACGTCAATATCATGCCCCAGTACTAAAAACTTCCTGAGATATGCAATATGAAAAATTTGTTTTGTATGGGAGGCGCTACGCCCCCTTTTTCAACAGCTCAAATTTTTCTCCAAAAGTATGTGATGAATTTCATATATCTCCATACCATGTTCCAGAACTCTACCATGATCATTTCCAGATATATGCAGTATGAAAAATTCGGTTTGAATGGGGGGGTGCCACGCCCCTTTTTCCAATAGCTCCAATTTTTCTCCAAGAGTTTGCGAGTGATTTCATACACGTCAATACCAAGTTCTAGCTCTACCACGCTCCCCTAGCCACGTCCCCTTTTCCAGTAGCTCCGAAATTTATACAAGAGTATGCGATTGATTTCATATACATACATATGCATCTCCATACGAAGTTTCAGTACTCTACCATGAACACTTCTAGAGATATGCAAGCTCCAAAATTTATCCAAGAGTGTCGATATCATATATGTATCTCCATACCAAGTTTCAGTACTCTTTCATGAACACTTCTAGAGATATGCTGTTCGAAAAATTCGGTTTGTATGAGAGGTGCTACGCCCCCATTTTCAGTAGCTCCAATTTTTCCCCATGACTATGCGGGTGATTACATACACGTCAATATCATGCCCCAGTACTCTACCATGAACATTTCCAGAGATATGTAGCATGAAAACTTCGGTTTGTATGGGAGGCGCTACGCCCCCTTTTCCAATAGCTCCAATTTTTCCCCAAAAGTACGATGCATTTTATATATCTCCATACAATGCTCCAGAATCCTACCATGAACACTTTTAGAGATATGCAGTATGAAAAATTCGGATTGTATGGGAGATGCCACGCCCCTTTTTTAAATAGCTCCAAAATTTATCCAAGTGTATGCGATTGATTTCATATATGTATGCATCTCCATACCAAGTTCCAGTATGAACATTTCCTGAGATATGCAGTATGAAAAATTCGTTTTGTATGGAAGGTGCCATGCCCCCTTTTTCAACAGCTCCAATTTTTCTCCAAAAGTATGCCATGAATTTCATATATCTCCATACCATGTTTCAGAACTCTACCAAGAACATTTCCAGAGATATGCACCATGAAAAATTCGGTTTGTATGGGAGGCGCCACGCCCCCCTTTCCAATGGCTTAAATTTTTATCCAAGAGTATGCTATTGATTTCATATATGTATCTCCATAGCAAGTTCCAGTACTCTTCCATGAACATTTCCAGAGCGATGCAGTATGAAAAATTCGGTTTGTAATGGACACGCCACGCCCCCTTTTCCAATAATCCCAATTTTTCTATATGAGTATGCGATTGATTTCATATATCTCCGTGCCAAGTTCCAGTATTCTACCATGAACACCTCCAGAGATATGCAGTATGCAAAATTCGGTTTGTATGGGAGGTGCCACGCACCTTTCATATACCGAGATTTTTGTTAGCCTATAACCATCCTTTGGACGTTTGCAGCAGGTGTCCGAAATTTCAAAAAAATCGGTTCAGCCGTTCTCGAGCTTTGCGAACAAAAAAAAAAACGGCGTTCAAAATATATGTAGGTTAGTATAGAGTTGCTTGCGGTTCTTTAAATAAAAAATAGATGTCAGAAATGAATTTTTCATATCAAAAAATTCCCAGGCACGGCTTTTTATAAAAAAAAAACATTCGTAACACTTTAGTAAATATTAATCTGCATATCAACTTAGTATTAATTAAAGATTAAAAAATTGCGCGGGCTCCAAATTGTCTTAGAGCTATGGTCTAAAGCAGGGGTTCTTAAACTTTTTAAGATGATGGAACCCTTACTAAATAACTTTCATTTTATGGAAACCCACATCAAATTACTAAAATTCAAAGGCAGTGCAATTTAAATATGAATAAAAACTTTTACTAGAAATAGTATACATACTTCAAATTTTAATCTGAGGAATGAAATTGTTTCACTGTTATTAATTACACTGGATCACAAATTTTAGTTTGGTTTATGTTCTCCAGACGCCACCATCCAATTTCTATGTAGAATTGCTCGGTGATCCCGAAAATCGAGTTAATTTTATTTTCTATGGATACGTTTTCAAAATATATGCAATTTACCGTTATTCAACTTAAAACAAAATGTGGTTCCATTTAATCACACATATCTTACGAACCAATTTAAAAATCTTAAAACGAGATACGTCAAATAAAAGCTAATAAAATTCTACATAAACCAAATATACATCACTTTCCGATAGGACTCAAACTTTAACAGACGAAAAATTTAAGAAATAACAGGTTCTGTGCCAAATTTTTACATTTCTGCTAAAATATGTTCTGTTACAAAAAAAAAATCAGGTTACTAATGAGGAAAAGGATGGATAAATAGAGAAGTGGTCAAATGAAAATGGGCAATAATTTTTTGTATGAAATATGAGCATAAATGCGTCTTACTCAGGTGTACGTAGCGTAGCGTATGGTTGGTTGGTTGGTAGAAGCGTCGCACTATGGGCGATTTAGGGGGAAACATTTTCAAAATCAAATTGCGCCTCTCAGAGGTGAGATGAATCAACGATATCTTTTTCGTGTAAAGGATTTTTGTTGTAGAATAAGGGCAAATTACAAATAAATGCGACTCTGAAGTTGCACAATTACAGGACTCATGGAAAGGACGAGAATTAAAAAAAAGATTGAAAATATAAAAAAACAAATACAGCATGACTTGTAAATGAAATAGAACCAACGTGGAAGTATAAACTTTCAAATAAGACCAATATCAATACAATCTGTTACAATGATGTTACCAATATAATCCTTTATTGAAGAAAGAAGAACTTTTACAGTTGAAATTTGCCTTTTATACCTTGAGAAAAATAAGTAAGATGTACAATGAAAGGAAATGTCAAATCATCAAGACTCGAAAGTCGAGGCTCGAAGCAAATGAATTTAAGTGAATAGAAAACAAGGTTGCATTAATTCTAAAGTACTTAAGTGACTTAATCATATTGAACATCCTGCCCGGTCGAGGCGTTCGTCTCGAAATCTTCGCTGTCCAAGAGGCGGCACAATTTTTGTACTGCCCGGGTCAGGCATCCACTACTAGTTTTTATCGACACATTTCGGATGGCCCCATCCCCTCCAGGGTGCACCGCTATCACTCGACCCAGCCGCCAGTGAGTTGGAGGTAAATTTTCATGCCTTACCAAGACGACGTCGTTGATCTTAATATCGGGCATGCGCTTCTGCCACTTATTTCGCCTCTGAAGAGTAGACAAATATTCGTCGCTCCAACGGTGCCAAAACTCTTGGTGGACCTGCTTCAACCATTGCCATTGCTTCAGTCGATTGGTAGGGGCTTGGCGGACATCAGGTTCGGGTACGGCTAAAAGCGGGGAGCCAACCAGAAAATCGCCAGGGGTAAGGGCGAGCTTGTCCTCCGGATCGTCATGAAGTGGGGTGATGGGACGCGAATTTAGACACGCCTCAACTCGTGCCGCCAAAGTCTGCATCTGGTTATGCCACATCGTTTGAGCACCAACACAGCGAACTAGATGGTGTTTGGCAGACTTGACGGCAGCCTCCCAGAGCCCGCCTTGATGCGGCGCGCTTGGAGTAATAAAATGCCACTGCGTACCCATAGCTGCTAACGATTTTTGATTATTGTCCGGGTACCAGGCGGCAAGATCTTCTTGTAATAGTCGATTAGCACCGATAAAAGCCCTGCCATTGTCACTGTACAAATCGCGACATGGTCCTCGTCGACTAATGAAGCGGGTGAACGCATCAAGGAACGCCTGAGAAGAGAGGTCGTCCACCACTTCAAGATGAACAGCCTTTGTTGCCATGCAAATGAAAATGGCGAGGTAGGTTTTAACCACTGTGCGAGAGCGTTTCGTTCCCGTACGCAACATAAATGGACCACAATAGTCGACGCCGGAAGCAGCAAAAGGTCGTGCAGCGCTAACGCGCTGCCTAGGTAGTGGGGCCATCTGTTGCATCAACAACGCTCCGCGATGTCGACGACAAATCACACAGCGGTGGATGGCTCCTTTGACGGCCTGGCGGGCATTCAAAATCCAGAAGCGCTGTCTGAGAGTCTGAAGCATCAGTTGCGTTCCCCCGTGAAGGGTTTGTTCGTGAACTTGTCGGACGAGTAGCGTGACCAGAGGACTGGATCTCGGCAAGAGGATTGGGAAACGCCGCTCGTATGATAAGTCAGCCCTTTGAATGCGTCCACCCACTCGCAACATGTGCTTGTCATCAAGTAAGGGATTCAACGGCATAAGTCGACTGGAGTGTGCGATGTGTCTTCCACTCTTCAGTTGCTTGACCTCACTGCTAAAGGCATCCTCTTGGTCCATACGAATCAAAACGTCTAATGCATCGTCGAATTCTCTTGCACCTATAACCCGCTTACGCAGATGTTGACGTGAACTAAGCCATCGCAGGATAATGGCCACTGTACCTAGAAGGCGTTGGATGGAACTGAAGCGCTCGGTGAGTAGTATGACCTTACCATCACGTTGTCGTGTTTCAATAGATCGCGCAGCACTGATAACTGCAGTGCATGAAATGGTGCGCTCTTCGGCACTTACTGTATTCGCTTCGTCCCCAAGTAGGGGAAGCGCTTTGTTTCTTACAGGGATGTCTCTCTCCAGCCAGCTTGGGCCCTGTCACCAAAGCGGATGCTCCAGCAGTTCGAGGGGTGATATGCCTCTACTCGCGCAGTCGGCGGGGTTCTGTGCCGACCGGATATGATGCCATCGATCGGGCGAAGTGAGCTCCTGGATCTGACGTACTCGATTCGATACATATAGCTTAAGCGTTGTTGGCTGTTTCTTTATCCAACAAAGAGCAATCGACGAATCCGACCACAAATAATAGGGGGCGTTCATCAAACCCAAAGCGCTTCTTACAGCTTGGAGTGTTTCTGCCAACAAGAGCGCTGCCGAGAGCTCGAGACGTGGTATGGTAGATCCCTTAAGTGGAGCCACCTTAGTGCGCGCTGTCAGCAATGCGAGTTGTACTCTTTCGCCTGCGCCTACAGTTCTTGTGTAAATCACTGCTGCGTAAGCTTGCGAACTAGCATCGCAGAAGCCGTGTAAAGTCGTTTGCACACCGTGCGCCATGCCTAACCATCGATTCACACGAACTTTGTTGAGTAACTCCAGCTTAGACCGATAGTTTATCCAATCGTCGCGAAGATCATCAGACAACGGTGCATCCCACGAAAGACCAGCGGACCACATTCGCTGTATAAACACCTTACCCTGGACCACCACCGGTGCCAAAAAGCCCGTGGGATCAAAAAGCTGAGCAACTTCGCTGAGAACCCGTCGTTTAGTTGGGGTAGGACCTGCTTGCTTGAGAACCACCTGGAAGAAGAACTGGTCAGCGGCAGCATCCCACCGTAATCCAAGTACGGAAGCCGTAGGAGGGTTTATTTCTAAGCCTGCGGAGGAAGAAATGTTACCGGTCAAGTATTCCATTACCTCAGCATCATTGGAGTTCCATTTCCTCAATGTAAATTTCCCAGCGGAGAGAATTTCATCAACATTGTGAGCTAAGACCTTAGCGTCGTTTGCGTTCTCACAACTGGTCAAAAAATCGTCAACGTAAAATGACGTTAAAATGGTATCGCGCGCTTTCGCGGCTTGCCGGTGGTCCGATATTACGTTGTGATTGTCGCGTGCACATTGTTGGAGTGCACGTATGGCATTATACGGGCTGCACGCCATACCATACGTAACCGTTGTTAGTCGATATACCTTGAGTTCATCCGAGGGTGACTCGCGCCAAAGGATCCGTTGGAAGTCTCGGTGTATGGGGGCAACGAGTACCTGCCGGAACATTTTCTCAATGTCGGCTGTTAGGGCCACCCTATAGCGTCGGAAACGTAAAATTATATTGATGAGCGAGTCTTGGATGGTCGGGCCCACTATTTGCACCTCATTTAGTGACACGCCAGTACTAGTTGGTGCCGATGCATTGAACACCACTCTAAATTTGGTGGTTACAGCGTGGTGGGGAATGTAGTAGCCGTTGGTGTGATCACCTACGTTATTTACGGGTTCCATATGGCCAAGACTTACGTACTCACGCATGAACTTAATGTAATTATCTTTAAGCTCAGAGTCACCAACGAGACGTCTTTCTAGGCGTTGAAATAGGCGAAGAGCGTGCGCATATGATTCGCCAAGTCTCGGTGCATCGCGGCGGAACGGCAGCTGCACCATGTAACGTCCATCACTAGTACGGGAGTGTGTGGCTGCAAATATTCGACCACATTCATCATCATCGTCTGATGCACACACGGGGACCTCCTGAAGCTTCCAAAAATTGTGAACTAATTCTTCCAGCACCAAATCATCCTCGACTAGCTTTGCGCTGAGCACGAGAGATGAGTTCTCCTTCGACGAAACTTCTGACGCTGGACCAAAAACTACCCAACCAAGGCGAGTGCGTTGAGCATAAGGTTCATCTGGTCTGCCACCGATGATGTCACCCTCCACGATTCTACCCCAGGCATCAGCTCCAATGAGACAGTCTATAGCCCCAGGTGTACCAAAATAAATATCGGCCATATCGAGGCCAGCCAGGTGTTGCCACTGGTTAACGTCTAGACGCACGGCAGGAGTGTCCGATGTGATTGACGGGATCACCAAAGCGTTGATTTTGGTTTCAAAGTTTGAATGCAATGACTTTATGGTTACAATAACACTACCCGTAGTTCGAGTACTAATACTCGATCCAATCCCCTCTACATTCAATTCGCATTTGTGTATTTTTAATCTCAATGATTTAGCTAAGCGATCTTTAATAAAACTAACCTGCGAACCTGGATCGCACAAAATTCGAACCAATCGTTGAACTGCTGCATCCCCATAGATGTATGCACGCGCTGTTGCCAACAGAATCGTAGGTCTGGCTTGGGCAACGCAGGTTGTCATTGGCGAGGTTAGTCATAAGTTTGGAGCAGGCTGGACAGCTTGCGGGGTAGCCTCGATGACCTTTGAGCTGGACTGAGAGCCTGAAGCTGCTACTCCTGTTTGGCTCTCGCGACAAAACAGCGTGTTATGCTGTCGACCGCAATTACGGCAACCACCAGAAGAACATTGTTTCGACGAATGTCCAGCCCTTAAGCAATTATAACAAAGCTTCGATCCCTTAACCGCCTCAAAACGTGCCCCGGGCGACATTGCTGCAAGGGTGGGACATCTCGTGATACGATGAATGCCATGGCAATGGGCACACTTCCCATCCACCGTGGAAACCACGTTAGATTTTACTGTTCGCGGCAATCGCACCGACTCAATGGATGTTTCCTGGCATAGGCTATGTGCTCTTTTTTCTAGAAATTTCAGCAAATCCTCCAACAGCGGTATCTCATGTGAAGAACAACGCATAGACCAGTCGCGTTTCGTGATAGTAGGTAGCTTGGAGGTAACGATGGGAACTGCCAATGCATCCCATTTATCGACAGGCACCTCCATAACCCGCAACGCGCGTAGCGACTCGTGAACCGTGTCCACAATGGCAAGCAAAGACTTGGCCGATTCTTCTGTCGACAATTTTAAGTTAAGGAACCGCGTCACATGGATTTCTGCGAGTTGCTTTTTGTTATCATAACGGTCCTTTAACGCGCGCCAAACCTCCTCGTAGCCACCCGAATAAACACCACCTATGAGCGGGACCTCCTTTGAATTGACAGATTGCCGAAGCTTCCCTAATTTGAACGCTTCTGGATAGGAGGACTTGTGTACGAGAGTCTCAAATGCGTCCTTAAACGCAAGCCAATTACACATCCTCCCATCGAATACCGGAATCACCAGCGGGTCAATTTTCAGGTCGACCGAACGCCCATCCAACAGAGCGCTATGAGTGTTGAGCACGTGGTCGGTTGAGGCCGCAGCCGGAACCGACTTTGTGCTTGCTATCAGACGATTGAGGCGACAGCAAGCGTCGTCATATAACGCCTCAATTGCTTCCCATAAGGCGTCATGCGGTGCAACCTCATCCTTGGTAGCCTGGCCTACAAGATGATCGTGATTAAGAGTGAATCGCTGAAAGTGTGTTTCCAGTGATTTAAGCTCGTGCTCCAGTTGAAATACGTCGTGGGTTTCGCAGCTGGCTTCACACACCCGCGCATGTATGCGCTTGATTGCATTGACGGCCGCTGAGCGCCAGTTTAATTCCGCCATGTTCACCAAAATGAAACAAAAACAATATATACATATGTTGTCCTCACAGGAGGCACCAAGAAATGTTACAATGATGTTACCAATATAATCCTTTATTGAAGAAAGAAGAACTTTTACAGTTGAAATTTGCCTTTTATACCTTGAGAAAAATAAGTAAGATGTACAATGAAAGGAAATGTCAAATCATCAAGACTCGAAAGTCGAGGCTCGAAGCAAATGAATTCAAGTGAATAGAAAACAAGGTTTCATTAATTCTAAAGTACTTAAGTGACTTAATCATATTGAACACAATCCATGGGGCCGTTCCAGTGTTATGCGTTTGTTACGCTAAGGATTTTTTGTTAATGTCATCAGATCTACACCGTTAAGTCGATTTTCAAAATGTATGTGCCAACTTAAAGGGCTTGACCCTTAGATGTGCAGTAAGGTTGAACTTTTTTTAAAGAGTTGCCACCTGTTAAAAAATGATGTTCAAATTATTTAATAAGGTTAATGAATTATGTACAAGTTACAATATGGGTACCAATCGAAATGGCTTTGAAAATGCTTTATTTTTAAACTACATGTAGGAGCGTTGCCACCTGTTTAAAAAGTTAAATTCAATTCACAAAGCAAGAAAAAATAATGAAGGAAGTGGTCGTTCGTTCTTTTCCGTATCATTTATAGACAGATTGTTAACGCAGAAGGAAGTGAAACAGAAGACGAGAGCATCTCTAACAATGATTCTGATGAAGAACTTATTATATAATTATCATTGTTAGCTAGGCTAATTTTAATTTGCGATTTGTTAACCATATCACCTTATATTCAATTCTATTGTGTTATTATTAATTATTCTATACCTGTTAAGGTTAAAACGCTGAAACTGAATTTAACTTTTTAAACAAGTGGCAACCCTCCTACATGTAGTTTAAAAATAAAGCATTTTCAAAGCCATTTCTATTGATACCCATATTGTAATATGTACATAATTCATTAACCTTATTAAATAATTTGAATATAATTTTTTAACAGGTGGCAACTCTTAAAAAAAAAATAAAACCTTATTGGACATCTAAAGGTCAAAAAGGTTCTTTAATTTGGCACATACATTGTGAGAATCGTATTTACGGTGTAGATCTGATGACATTAACAAAAAATCCTTAGCGTAACAAATATAACACGCATAACACTGGTTTGGCCCCATAGATTGTATTGATATTGGTCTTATTTGATAGTTTATACTTCCACGTTGGTTCTGTTTCATTTACGAGTCATGCTGTTTTTGTTTTTTTATTTCTTCAATCTTTTTTTTTACTTCTCGTCCTGTCCATGAGTCCTGTAATTGTATAACTTCAGAGTCGCATTTCTTTGTAATTTTCCCTTATTCTACAATAAAACTCCTTTACACGAAACAAAAAATCGTTGATGCATCTCACCTCTGAGAGGCGCCAATTGATTTTGAAAAATTTTTCCCCCAAATCGCCCACTGTGCGTCGCCTGGGTACATTCCCAGGACCCAATTAGTGCTGAAAGCACCGTTTTGATACGCTTTCTCTGGGACCCCGGATTTTATCTGCTTTCATGATTCGTTGGGTTTGTCAAACCATTTGGATTTTCCGATGAATCTATTTAGGGTAGTAAGGGTAAATTTGGAAATTTCCCCAAGATTTTGGATGAAAAAACTCCCGAGTGTGATCTGCCTTATTTGTGCCAATGCTGGGCACTCACAAAGATAGTGAAGGATAGTTTCTTTATTTCCCACAAGATCACGGCTACGGCTCGGAGGGTTATACGGAAGGCCCATTTTAGCTGCATGTTTACCAATGCTCCAATGTCCCGTTATCGTGGCTATTAATTTAATTATATCTTTCCTCGCCCTCTTGAGAAGTTCTTCTGTCTTTCGCTTGTCATAGTGCGGCCATATGTTCCTCGCAGTTTTGCAGGTTTGAAGGTTGTTCCAACGTGTATCAGCCATACGTGTGAATTTGCAGATGCAGTTCCCTTTTGATGAGTGCGAGTGGACAATTTATAGTTTTTGCTTCGGATTCATCCAAAGATGCTCCAGCCTTAGCCAAATCCTCAGCCCTCTCATTTCCGTGTATGTTCCAATGGCCGGGAACCCAGATGAGAGTGATGTCTATTAACTCGGCCGCCGACTTAACGCACATTTGAAATCTCTGGCTGATTTGGATTTTGTTATCGGTGAGGCAAGTGTCAGAAGTGTCGCTTGGCTATCTGAAAAAATGTATGCTTTCGTACACCTACGCAGTTCCTCTCTAGTGCTTTACAGGCCCTTTCGATGCCCAGTACTTCCGCTTGGAAGATGCTAGCAAAGTTAGGTAGTCGAAACGAGAGAGACATTCAGCGTTTCACAGAACACCCCCACACCCACACCACAGTCCATTTTGGACCCGTCAGTATAGATTTCAGTGGAATTCTCCTCGACTTTCCTGCCCTACTTCAATCCCGTCTTGAAGGAAACCACCTGAAAGCTTTTCCTGAAATCTGTCTTAGGAGGTATATAATATGATTGTTTCCCTCTAGCTCAGTTTGGTATCTAATACGACACCCAAGTATTTAGCCTCGGAGGACAATGTGAGAGTCGTTCCATTACGGGAGGGGAGCCTGAATTGTGGTATTTTTGTTTTATTGGTGAACAGCATCAGTTCCGTCTTGCTAGGGTTTGACACCCAGTCCACTTTTTGTGGCCCAGGTGTTTAGCCGGAGCAAAGCTCCCTCTAGGACTATAAGTTGAGGGGAAGAGACCTGATACCACCACCACTACATCTGCATATGCTACTGCTTTCACTCCACCTTTGTTGAGATCCAGCAGAATGTCGTTCAGTACCACCACCCATAGTAGCGGAGACAGAAATCCCCCTTGGGTAGTGCCTCTATTTGCATAACGGGATAGCGTTACTGAACCAATGGTTGAAATTACGATTCTGTTTCTGAGCATTTGTTCGATCCACCACTTGCATATGTGGTCAGACATTCCCACCTTCACAAGAGATCGAACAATTGCTTCGATTGTGATGTGCCCCCTCTATGTCGAGGAATGCCGCCAAAGTGTACTGCTTGTAATGGAGTGATTTTTCTATGGTGCCCACGACTTCATGAAGGGCAGTTTCAGTTGACCTGCCCTTAATGTATGTATGCTGAGCTTTGGAAAGTTTGGAATTTCCCAGAAAATGCCTTACATGTAGGTCTAAAAGTCTTTCCAATACCTTTAGCAGGAAGTATGTAAGACTTATTGGTCGGAAGTCTTTTGCTTTTTCGTGATTTCTTCTTCCCGGTTTGTGATTGCAGATAACTTTGACTATTTTCCAGCCTTCCGGAATGTATGTCAAGCTAATACTGGCTTTATAGCCCTTTCCAGCCAGGATACCATAGGTTCCTGTAATTTCTGGAGCATTATCGGAATGATGCCATCTGGGCCAGGTGATTTGTATGGGGAGAATTTGTTTATAGCGAACTTAATTTTTTCCTTGTCTACGATTGAGTCGAGTAACTATTTTGAGAGTTGCTGACGATTTGTATGAGGCCATGTTTTTGGCTTCTGATCGCAGCCAGTATCCGCAGCCCTTGTCCATGCACCACCCTCCCCCTTAATAAGGTTGGAGTTTGTGTGTTCCTTGGGTAAAACTTTGCTTAGTCTGGCGGAATGCCTACAGTTCTCTATGGATGTGCAATAGGACTGCCAAGAGTCCGCTTTAGCTTTATTTACTAATTTTTTGTACTGCCTTAATTCATCTTTGTATGGCTGCCACAGTTTTGTTCTGTAGCACTCGTTAAAGATTTTTCTGAGATTTGACCTGTGCTCCCTAAGCTCCCGCGTCCACCATGGAGGGGATTTTTTCTTAAGGACGCTTACAGGAGTGGATTTTTTTAAGCTATGGCTAGAGTTTTTTCCAGCTTATCCTGTGTTGTCTAGTTTTACAGCAGTTGTAATCTCTTTTGATTTACTGCTATCTAGGTTACCTGACGTTAGCCTGACAAATTTTGGCCATATAGTTTTTCTCGGATTACGAAATATGGAAGTGGTAGTGGGTTTACCGCGAATGCTGAAGAGTATCCAACAATGATCCGACATGGATGTTTCACGGGATACTCTCCAGTCATCGACGAAAATACCATCTGTTGCTAGGGTTAAGTCCAGTACCTCTTCCCATCCCGCAAATCTTTCGGAGCTGGGAAATATAAATTTCGGACTCTCTCCTTTATTGCATATACTCAGGTTTGGATTCAATATAAAGTGTAAGAGAGACTCACCTCTGCTGTTTATCGTGGAACTCCCCCAGATAGTGTGCCTCGCGTTTGCGTCGCATCCTATCAGAATTTGCTCCCACTGATTTTGTGCGATAAATTGTTCCACTGCGTCGGGTGGGGCGTCCCTGTCATGAGCCAGGTAGGCAATGCATTAATACCTTTTTGGATTATAATGCATGCTCTCGGTTTACCTGTGTTACCACTATAAAAGAGAGTACATGGAGAGTGGATTAGGCTGACGTAGATGCTTTCCCTCTTCGAAAAGGATTGGCAGATTATCTGTCGCACATATTGGCATCGTCGACCTCCTCTGTGTCGTCTTCATCAGGAGCCTTGTCGTGTTCAAAAATCTTCATCATGGCCATGCGGATGCCAAAGCGAATTTTGTTGTCCGCCTTTGACAGAGCCTCAATAGATTCTTCGCAAATGGCCAAGAGAATAGGTCTGCTGGTTTTATTTGGCTGCTCAACTTTTATATGCTGCCAGTCTGCTATACACGGTATGTGTTTGCGTGCGAGCTTTAGGCACCTCAGAAGTTTCTCGCCTGGTTCTTTCATGGGGGGTAACCAGATACGTGCACGTGGCCTCTGAGGGACGTCCTTAGCTGGAATCAGCCTTAGTTAAAGGCCGACGAATGCTTCGTTTATTTTAGCGACGCACCCAGCTAAGAAGTCCAAAGAAGCTTGGTCCGCGCATCTGATAACCCTGTATCCTCGAAAGGATCCAGAGGAATCAAACTCCGGATGGGGACCCACCGGGTTATCGAGGACGAGTCACTAAAGTGGGGTTGCAGCGGGCCGGGGTCAAATGAAGAAGCCTGTTTAGGCTTCTTGCTCTCTCTGCCGGCAGTGCTGTCGTTGGTGGAAAGGTTTCTCTCTTGAGATTCGCCTTTTTGCTTTATTTCAGGTCGATTGGGGTTTGCTGATTGCTTCTCTTTCAAGGAGCTCTCATATTCCTCAACCACCTTTTTATAGTAATCAACCCCCTTCAACTCATAGGAGCCGCTTGGAGCTGAATTGCCTGATATTTTATCTAGCATGTAGACCGACCTCTGGGAGCGGCTTTTCCTGATTTGGCTCAGGGACTTTTTATGTTTCTTCTTCCCCCCTGCTCCCGCCGTCGTTGTTGTTGTCGTTGTTGTTGGTACTGCCGGCAGCTTTGGAGGAAGACGGAAGTCGTGGCGGGTAGGGATGACTGGCTTGGCATCCTTAGATGTGGTATGTTTTGCTGCTTGTGCTTCTGATGTACTATGGTTGGAACAACCGGGAACACTTTTGATTGTCTCCTGACTGCAGGCAAGAAGGGTGTCCTCATCGGACTCCGTAACGACGTGGCCCGGGTTCCGATAAGGAAGTGCCAAAGTCGATTGTCCAGTGTTCCAGTGTTCGTCATCAGTTTTGTTTCGGTTTCAGTTTGTGTTTGCTGTTTTTGTCTAAATCTTCCATATTTGGTAGCGTATGAGTAACTTCCTTTCCTGCTCATTTTTCATACAAAAATTGTATGCGTATTTTCATTTGACCATTCATTACTTCTTTATTTATCCCTCGCTATCCTTCATTAGTAACTTGATTGAAACAGAACGGGCTTTAGCACGAATGCGAAAAAGTTATTTTTGAAATTTTTCTTCTGTTAATGTTTGATTTTTTACTTTCTTTGTTAAAAAAAAAAACTGGAATGAGTAATTAATTTGTCAGAATTCTGTACGATCGGAAAGTGATGTATAAATGTTTATGGAGAATTGTATTAGCTTTGATTTGACGTATTTCATTTTAAGATTGTGAAATTTGTTCGTAAGATATACGTGATTAAGTGGAACCACTTTTTGTTTTAAGCTGAATTACGGTAAATTGCAAATATCTCGAAAATGTATTCATAGAAAAAAACATTAACTCGATTTTCGGAGTCACCGAATAATTCTACATAGAAATTGGATAGTGGCATCCATTGAAAATTTTTTCTGTAAACCTGTGTTATTGTATAAAATAGTAGTTCGATATAATGTTTGAAAGCTGTATGCGCATTTCTGGGCCTTTTTTTTTTAGAATATTGTCGAAAAAACTGACCCGCCCTAACAATGTAATGCCGAAGCCCGCCTCTATGCGGTATTCTCAAAAATGGCACTGGCTAATGGCAAAACATTTCCAGAAGCTTTGCAAGCTATCAAAAGTTTACTTTAATCACTTTCGTTCCACTTTGCAAAAGTCATGTACATTTGCAACAAAAAAAGTTATGCTGGTAAATGCTGTATTATCAAAGATCCATTCTGTTTTGGTTCTGAGTTTCTCTAACGCAATAATCAGCCTCATTATACACTACTGCCAACTTTTTTCGTTTTAATTTACTAGTCGAGAGCAAATTTAAGGCAATGTCATGCAATTTTCAATACGACTCGACTCTCGAAAAACGACTTGCAAACGACACGACACTCGCAATGAGGCTGAATAACTTTAGTTTCTAACAGGTATGCTTATCTATTATTATTTTGAAATGTGTTTTGAGTAAAGGCCACTTGAGCTATGGAGCAGAGATTTCTTTATGAGTGCCTCAGATTAATGTTTTCATATCACAGCTAAACCTGGCTCAAAGAATTTTTTTTTTATAATCAGTAGCCCAAATTAATCCAAAAACGTTTAGTTGCAAATTCTACGTTCGCTATTTAAAAAACGGGCATTAGAGGGATATACATATACTATATATATGAAAAATGAAATTCTGTACAACTTTGGAATTTTAATACCCTACGTATTTTCAATAGAAATTGTTGAAAAATGGCGGAAACCGTGACAATGTATAAATTTTTCGCACTTCTTGCAAATGGCAATCTAATTTTCTACAAATTTGTTTGTAACCTTTTTTGCGAAAAATGTAAATCGCAAAAAATCCAAAAAAAAACCTAAAATCCAAGATGGCGGAATGTTCCCATATGAAATTTAACGGAAACACTGTGGATCCATGATCTACTTGTCAAATAGAAGTAAACTGCATTAAAAGTTCCCTACAACAAATATTTTGCTTTTTTCGTACCAATTTGATCTAAATTTACTGGGATAGTAATAAAGTGTAAGTTTTGATAATTTGTTTTTTTTTTTTTTAATTGTAATACGCATTTTTTCCATATCTGTGTTTCCATGACGTCGGTCGTGACATTCGTACGACTTTAGAGTTAAATAAATCATAGGAAAACGGAAGACACTTAAAAAAAATAATTGCCGTTGTGTAACTTTTATACCATCCTTTGCTTGACAAAAATATAAGTTGCCCTTGGAACACTGGCGTCGAGAACATCGATGAAAAGAAGCTAATAATGGACAAAAATAGAAGTTGTTTCAGAGTACATGTAAAAATAGGCAAAACTTTGCAAATTCTGTGAGGTTTTCCTTCTTTAAACATTCTGTAAATAAAGTTAAATTACGGACCATTACAACCAATTCATTTTTAATAAACAATTCGTTGTTGGTATAATTTAGAATTAAAATATGATAACGGACGTAACAAATTTTTCCCCAATAAAATATTTTTACTAGTAACACATATATAATTTAATCTTTTATTTAATTTATTCAGTTCTTCTCTCCACCGTTTCGCGTTTTCATAACATTTTTTCGCCATCTGAATACGAAATTTAAAGTTTGAACTCGTTTGCGTTTTCGGTTTACATTTTTATGGAAACACCCATATGAAAAAATTGTCAGATACCTTGTATGGAAGAAAATGCGAGAAAAAAATTTCCAAAAATCAATCCGATTTTCTAGCAACTTAAAACTTACACTTTATTATAGTGCTTTATTCAATCTGCTATAAAACTGCATACTAAATAAAAATTCTAAAAAAACCTGATTGAAAAGTTTAAGATTTAGGTGAATTTTCGCAGAATTTTTATAATTTTGGCACAAAGTTTGAATTGTGAATTATATGGCTTTTGTCAATGTTATTGTGGCTTATTAACATTTTATTTTTAATATTTTTTATTGAGCTTTATACCACGATTGTTTATTAGGAAAAATTGAAAAAGCAGCAAAGTCTAAGCGGTAGAAGTTATTGCAGCTATTTCGGAGATCACCACATCTCTTCATCAGACTTCTTTTTTCTAGATTTCAGCAGGGATCGAACCTGCGTAATCGATGTTCAAAGTCAGAAGCGTTAACCACTGAGCTATGTACATCCCGTAAACTCTTGTTGCTAATTCATTTTCCTTATTCAACCAACTTTGTTTGATAATGGGCTGCACTTTTATAAAAAAAATATAAAATAATGAAAAGAAACATAGCCAAACTGATCAAAATATGGTTTCTATTATTTCGCCCAAGGGTGAACATATTTTGAATAAACTGAAAGTTTTTTGTTTTTTGTTATTTTTATGGCCTTATAACAATTATATTCAACAATTTTTATGAGCTCGAGGCCGTATTATTTCAAATTATTGTTGTTTTTCCACAATAAGTTTGCATTTAATACGGCCTCGAGCTCATAAAAATTGTTGAATATAAACTGAAAGTTTTTAAAAAATGTGCAACATAGTTAGATAAATAATGTAGGAACTTAACTAATAATATTTATTCAAAATTGTACTGACGGCATTGTTTTTATTATAGATAATTAAAGACGAAACAAGTAAGCGCATTGAGCTGCTGGTCAAGAAACGAGTTGAGGAGGAGTTAATAAGACGTAAAGATGAAATCGAAAAAGAAGTAATTTGTCGTGTAGAAGCCGCGAAATCCGAAATGGAGCTGGAGTTAATGTTTGAGTTGGAACAACAACGAGAACGTATTCGGGAGGAGGCTCGACATAGGGAGGTATGCCTAAAAAACTATTACACTGACCGACGGCCTAAAAAGGCAAGAATGACATTCATATTTCTATAACATATTCAGGTCGCTGATTCTAGATTTGTTAAAGTTAGGAAAGCTACATTTTTCGTCACCATTAAATAATAATACAAAATAATAAAAACATAGTTTACTACAAATTTGCTTACGACACATCGCGTTCGTAAAGAGGCAAGGAGGAGTTTTTTATCAAAATTTTTAATTTACCGAAAATAATATTTATCAAGAGCTAAAAGTTAATAATAATAATGATTACTTAAGGTGTCCCTCAGTAACGATTTGAAAAAATTCCCTCTCAGAGTCAGGCCCTTATTATGAGTTGCATTCGATTTTCGATCTTCGCTGGTTATCGAAGATCGAAGATCGAAAGTGAAATTCGTATTATGAGCTATGCAACCGTGTCGAAATTTTCGTTGAGTATCGAATTTTCTGTCGGAACAGAATTTTGCTTTCGATGGGGTAGCGAAGTGTTAGAAAATTGTGAAAAATGTATGATTTTGCATTTGTTTTCTTACTTTTTGCGGGTAGACACTAATTTTAAACAATTTTTTTTTATCAATTTCATGCAGTTTTAACGTCGTGAATACAAAACGCAAGCTCGCAAGGCTGCTTTACTTGTGAAGGAAAATCCCAGTACTCAGTTGGCACGATCTCTGAGAACAAATCATAAAGCTGGTCAGTTCACTAAACTCTCATCCTCTGACGAATCGTTGAACCCCAGAACTTCGTTGTACTAATTTTTACCACGTTTTTATAAACTTGCTTTCTTTTTTATTTCATTTTAATTTGCACAAATTTACGTAAATATGTATAAGCACATTATTTAGTTTGCTCGATTTGTAAACAAAGCTTCTCAGCGGTGGAAAATATGCTATTGTGAACAACATAAACGAGCGAAGCTCACAATGGCGCTATTCTTCATAGAATGAGCGCCCTAATACCAAATCAAAATTCGTTCGATCAGCACTTTCGACCACAGTCGAAGATCGAATGTAATTCATAATAGGGGCCTCAGTTAATGATTCGTTAACGGCATTCAATGAACATTAAAGTTAAGTAAAGAAAAACCTTTACTTAACTTTTTAACGAATGATTTTGAAGGCATATTTAACAAGGTAGAAGTGACAACTAGCTCGAACTCTCTTGTAGCTAGTTATAATGTCAAAAAACTGTAAACAAACAAATTTACCCTATGAGGTGCATGTCAGGAAAATAAAGTGAGAAAGCTTTTTTATTACTTCACCTGCTTATAATTTCACCACGGAAATGCATCAGCATAAATGCATACATATGTATGTACGTATACTAATTCTAAGGATTACTTCAATATTACCTTCAAAGAATTTTAGCTGCATTCGAATCTTATATGCACATATACAGAAAATAATACCTCATAAAGGAAACCACGTAATTAAATGAAATAAATGTTTTATTTGTTTTTGTTATTTTATGCCCCTATAACAATTAGATTCAACAATTTTTATTGAGCTTGAGGCCGTTTTTAATGAAAAACTTATTGTGGAAAAGCAACAATAATTTGAAAAAAATGGTAGAAGTGATAGCTACTTCGGAAATCAGCACATTTCCTCATTAGACTTCTTTCAGTAGGATTCGAATCGACGCACAGTGGCCAATTTTCGGAAAACCCTGGCCAAAAGTCCAAAAAAAAATTGGTGCATTCGTATGTATAACCATCTTATATTGTTAGGGCGGGCTCTATGGCGTATCGTTATGAGACAACAAGTCGATTCTCTTAAGGCATTTAGTGTTACAGGAGATCGAAGTGACTGTTGCTAGCAATTCGCTCTAAACTTTTCGCAAATTAGGGTTTTCGTCGTTGTTAAAATCGTGGTATTATCTTTAAAAAAAATAACAGTTTTCAAGCATCCGCTCATGGACATTGTAATCTAGAGTATGTAAAACACGTTTTTTCATTGTTACGCCATCTAAAAACTGACGTAAGACATAGATATTCACGGATTGATTTTTTTTGTTAATCATTATGATGGATTAGGAAAATAGATACGAGAGTGGTCGAGATGGGCGGTCTAACTTTCTTTTTCATATATATTGACGTTTTTCCCATCCACCTTGGTTAAAACCACCTGCCACAAGCCGCCACTGTAGTTTGGACCCCAGTTTTTATACGCGATTCTTAATTTTTTTATGTTTAAAAGATTTAAATTATGTAAAAAATTATTTCTGTCTAGATTTTGATGTTTTAAAGATTGGATGTTTTTAGAATCTAAATGATGTCAGAAAGTACTACTATATTAGAGTGCTCATCCATGGGCCTCTCATTATTGAATGGGCACCCCTGCCAATTGGGCAACTTTCCGAAGAAGCCCAAGAGTTAAGGAATAAGANTGAAATAAATGTTTTATTTGTTTTTGTTATTTTATGCCCCTATAACAATTAGATTCAACAATTTTTATTGAGCTTGAGGCCGTTTTTAATGAAAAACTTATTGTGGAAAAGCAACAATAATTTGAAAAAAATGGTAGAAGTGATAGCTACTTCGGAAATCAGCACATTTCCTCATTAGACTTCTTTCAGTAGGATTCGAATCGACGCACAGTGGCCAATTTTCGGAAAACCCTGGCCAAAAGTCCAAAAAAAAATTGGTGCATTCGTATGTATAACCATCTTATATTGTTAGGGCGGGCTCTATGGCGTATCGTTATGAGACAACAAGTCGATTCTCTTAAGGCATTTAGTGTTACAGGAGATCGAAGTGACTGTTGCTAGCAATTCGCTCTAAACTTTTCGCAAATTAGGGTTTTCGTCGTTGTTAAAATCGTGGTATTATCTTTAAAAAAAATAACAGTTTTCAAGCATCCGCTCATGGACATTGTAATCTAGAGTATGTAAAACACGTTTTTTCATTGTTACGCCATCTAAAAACTGACGTAAGACATAGATATTCACGGATTGATTTTTTTTGTTAATCATTATGATGGATTAGGAAAATAGATACGAGAGTGGTCGAGATGGGCGGTCTAACTTTCTTTTTCATATATATTGACGTTTTTCCCATCCACCTTGGTTAAAACCACCTGCCACAAGCCGCCACTGTAGTTTGGACCCCAGTTTTTATACGCGATTCTTAATTTTTTTATGTTTAAAAGATTTAAATTATGTAAAAAATTATTTCTGTCTAGATTTTGATGTTTTAAAGATTGGATGTTTTTAGAATCTAAATGATGTCAGAAAGTACTACTATATTAGAGTGCTCATCCATGGGCCTCTCATTATTGAATGGGCACCCCTGCCAATTGGGCAACTTTCCGAAGAAGCCCAAGAGTTAAGGAATAAGAATATTAAAAAATATCGGCTGCTTGTATCCTCGGACCCTGTCATTTCAAGTTTACATTTAAACCTACCAAAACAAAATCATAAACTGTCGTCAGATGCCATTAAATTATTATCAACTGTTGTAAATGCGGATGCGGAATTGCCATCTGAAAATATAGATATGAGCATGGATACTTCAGATGACTGCGAGTCTGACGGTGTATAAAATTATCATAAAAATATATTCCTGTACCAATAAATATGTATGTCTTGTTTATTGATTCATTCAAAATCCCACAGTTCCCGTGTAAATTTGAACATCAAGATTTTTAGAAACAAACATTAAGACCTCGAATTCTCTACCGATTTATGGCGTGCGCCTANACTCTCATCCTCTGACGAATCGTTGAACCCCAGAACTTCGTTGTACTAATTTTTACCACGTTTTTATAAACTTGCTTTCTTTTTTATTTCATTTTAATTTGCACAAATTTACGTAAATATGTATAAGCACATTATTTAGTTTGCTCGATTTGTAAACAAAGCTTCTCAGCGGTGGAAAATATGCTATTGTGAACAACATAAACGAGCGAAGCTCACAATGGCGCTATTCTTCATAGAATGAGCGCCCTAATACCAAATCAAAATTCGTTCGATCAGCACTTTCGACCACAGTCGAAGATCGAATGTAATTCATAATAGGGGCCTCAGTTAATGATTCGTTAACGGCATTCAATGAACATTAAAGTTAAGTAAAGAAAAACCTTTACTTAACTTTTTAACGAATGATTTTGAAGGCATATTTAACAAGGTAGAAGTGACAACTAGCTCGAACTCTCTTGTAGCTAGTTATAATGTCAAAAAACTGTAAACAAACAAATTTACCCTATGAGGTGCATGTCAGGAAAATAAAGTGAGAAAGCTTTTTTATTACTTCACCTGCTTATAATTTCACCACGGAAATGCATCAGCATAAATACATACATATGTATGTACGTATACTAATTCTAAGGATTACTTCAATATTACCTTCAAAGAATTTTAGCTGCATTCGAATCTTATATGCACATATACAGAAAATAATACCTCATAAAGGAAACCACGTAATTAAATGAAATAAATGTTTTATTTGTTTTTGTTATTTTATGCCCCTATAACAATTAGATTCAACAATTTTTATTGAGCTTGAGGCCGTTTTTAATGAAAAACTTATTGTGGAAAAGCAACAATAATTTGAAAAAAATGGTAGAAGTGATAGCTACTTCGGAAATCAGCACATTTCCTCATTAGACTTCTTTCAGTAGGATTCGAATCGACGCACAGTGGCCAATTTTCGGAAAACCCTGGCCAAAAGTCCAAAAAAAAATTGGTGCATTCGTATGTATAACCATCTTATATTGTTAGGGCGGGCTCTATGGCGTATCGTTATGAGACAACAAGTCGATTCTCTTAAGGCATTTAGTGTTACAGGAGATCGAAGTGACTGTTGCTAGCAATTCGCTCTAAACTTTTCGCAAATTAGGGTTTTCGTCGTTGTTAAAATCGTGGTATTATCTTTAAAAAAAATAACAGTTTTCAAGCATCCGCTCATGGACATTGTAATCTAGAGTATGTAAAACACGTTTTTTCATTGTTACGCCATCTAAAAACTGACGTAAGACATAGATATTCAC